CGGTGTGCGACCGCTGGTTTTATTTCGAGAGGAGGCTGCGGGGGGGGTCCTCCCATCCCCTTAGTACCTCGGGGGGGCTGTGGCAGCTCTTCCCCCCCCGGATTTGCCCCCTCACCCTGTGTGACCTCCTCCTCGGGCCGCTGCGGGGCCCAGCGCTGAGGCCCAGGGCGGCTGTGGCGAGGGGAATGGGGGACTGCTGGTGTTTGCTGGGGTCCTCGCCAGCCCACCCTCACCAGAGTGTCCGTGTGTCACCCTACCGAGTCATAGGGTGATTTGGGTTGAGGTCCGGAGCGAAGCCCTGTCCCCCCCTGTGCGTGGGGGCAGCTGCCATCCCCTCAGGACACGGTCGGGCGTCTGCGGGGGACACAGCCCTGACCGCCAACACTGCGCGAGATGAGTCCCTTGACACTATGCGAGCTGTCTACCTGCGCGTCAAGGACGTTGCCAGCAGAAGAGCAGAGGAAACTTCAGGGCATCATGCAGCAACTCAAGGAAAAAAGAGTGTCTCTCATCTTCTGGCGTCTTTTTTGGCATGATGACAGCCTGTACTGGCTGTACGTGCCCTCTGCGGGCGTCACTTTCTGGGCACGGGTGATGTGTTTCACGGACAAGCCGTATTTCCTTAATTGCATTTCTGCATTTGAAGCTTCTGCCGAAATTTCAGAAATCGGGCAGCGTCACAAAGACAGGATTTTTGCAAGAAGACGGTGGTTTCGTAGTTCATCATCTGGGCGCTGCAGAAACGTGTGGTTTTCACGGCAGAGCTCGAGGTCGGGCGATGTCTCGGCCGCCCCGCTGGCTCCCTGCCTGCTGCAGCCCGGGGCTCTGGTTACCTGCGGGCAGCCCTGCCTGCACAGCCGCATCAGCAGCTGCACGAGCATATCCGCGGGCCCGAAGACTAAATAATTGAGGGGTCTGCGGGGTGTCTGTTCGCCGAGGGGGGGGTCCAGAGTGTCTCTGCTCATCTCTGTCCTTGTGTCTTTCTCCTTTTAGTTCCTTCTCACCACATTTTTCTCCTGCCAGTCATTGCATGTGATTATTTTCCCCCCCTCCTTATAGCTGAATGTCAGCTCGCCTTCCGGTTTCACTGCCGACCACGAAATCCAGAGCCCTTCCCTGTTTCATAATTTGTATTATTAGCACATCTGTACCTTGAATGCTCCGGTCAGATCAGTTCTTAACTTTATTTTTTTTAACTGACAATGTTGCAGAATCAGTTACTGGAAATGAGGACAGGCTCCTCTTCGCGGAGACTGAAAGGATTAGGGCTGCTGACACGCAAGAAGGGAGATGACGGTAGGCAGAAAGTAAACCCTCTCTTCCTTTTTATCTTCTCAGCATAAGAATGGGTGGCTGGATGGTGACAGCATTGAAAGGCAACGTTTAAACCACTACTTCTTTCCAATTTATCAAAGCTTTGGGTGGTTTTTTTTTAATGGGTAGACACTCGGGTGGCAGGTATGGGGAGAGGTTAATGTCATTAATAAGGCAAGAGAGCTTAACAGAGCCCGTGTGGGAAGCTCCCTGGGACTGTAGCTGCTGTATTTATCTCTGCGAGCGCGTGCAGGAGGCGTGGGTGTTCTCATAACACAGCTTTTCTATGATTAATCGGGTGATGAGAGACTCGACAGCCACGTCGGGGAGAGGTCGGGAGGGGAAATGGTGCTTGTCTGCCTCCGACGAGGTGAAATGAGGGTGTGCCCAGTCCTGGGTTGATGGTGTCGGACCTTGGCACCTTTGATAGGCGAGGTTTGGGTTTTAAAACAGAGCTTTTCATCCTGTTTCTCCCAGGATGGCTGCCTAGAGACTGACTTGAGCTCCGGGAATCATAGAATCATAGAAGGGAAGGGGCAAAACTCTGGAGGAGAGCCACAACCATCTCACCTGCAGCCTCGGTCCTCTGGATATCTCCGCTTCTCACAGCTCAGGGGTGAGATCGGGCACCAATCCTGGCTTATCTTTGGTTTTCCAGATGAGAAGCTCTGACACGTGTCCTCAGACAGTGCCGCTACCTTAAACAGCCAATAGCGATGGGTTTGCCTTAAAGGGGACTAATTAATTTAGGGGTCGGTTGGACCAGCACTGCCTGATTTGGCATTTGCCCTCCCAGATCCATCCCCATTTCAGCGCATCCCATTCAGTTGGGGAAGGAGACAGATCTCAGCACCGGAGCCGTGAGCTGGCCCTGCCCGAGCGGTGGCAAGGAACCAGGGTGGCGTTTTGGGTACAATGTGGATTTTTTGGTCCAGATATTTGGGATTTTTAAGTCTGGGAGTCAGGGATTTTGGTGTATGAAGGTGATCTCAGCTGTTGGGGGAGGTTGGACATCGGGTTTGGGTGTGAGGGTGATACGTGGTGCGTCCCAACCTCTGCTCTCGTGCTCCAGTGAAGCTGTAACGTGACGTGACAGAGGAAACCGCAAAAAAGATGACTTTTTTTCAGTAGGCGTTGCGTTTCTTGGGATTTTAGTTCCTTCACAAAGATTGGGTGTGAAGCTGAGGTGAGTCCAATTGGGGAGCGATAAGAATCATCATTCAGATGCAAAGTGCCTCCTACAAATTACCAAAAATAGCCTTTTAGTGCCGCAAACCATCGTGATTTCTCAGGTCCTGCCGTGCAGAGCTTTCCAAGCACAAAGGCAGCAAATCCTGGGAAAATCCTCCCCTTTTTTTCCGGAATTTCCTTTGCAAACCTTACAGGGGTCATACATATGTGGGGGTTGAGACAGATTTTGACACAAATACTGATTTTTGCGGCTCTCCATGGATGTATTTTGGGATAGGCTGTGGGTGTTTGGTTAAAAAGTACCCTGTGTTTTGAAGATCTGGGGGAAGCCGTGGCGGTGAGTTAATGGCAAAGACAAACAGCGTCTTTTGGGAGTGCAACTTTCTCTCTCCGTTGTGTGATCTGATGCTGTCAGAGGTGTCTGGGCTTCTCATCCCTGCCGGGAATGATTTTGGAAGCCAGATGGATCCTTGGGCGGATGGATCTTTCACGGAGCGCGTTGCTAGCACCCGCAGCAGACAGGAGGAGGCTCCCTCTGCACGCCGCGATTGCCTGCTGCGCGCTTGTGCACGCTCGAATGGATCCAGAGGACGGGACGTGCTCGTGCCTGCCTGGAAGCTACCTGGTTTTGTGGATCCAGACCTGTTGACTTTCCCCGACTTGAGACTCCCCATCCTGTTTATAAGAGCCGCTAAAGTGGAAAAGCTACTGCTATGGGCTGGGAACCTTCAGAGACACACCGAGCATCGACTTAGCATCAAACCCAAGTTTTTCCCTGGGCATAACCTTGCCTCTGCCAGCAGTCAGAGTTTTAGGGACTTCCTGGCCTGGCAGGTTGAACAAATAACTGTGGCTAATCCCCGTTTGCTCTCTCCTCCTCCCTTGCTCGTGGGTGAAACGATCCCTTCAATGAGGAATCATTTTTGGAAAACAAAGCCGAGTGAAAACCCTTCCTTCTCTACCCTGCACCCTGCAGGCGCAGCCCAGGAGAAAACCCAGCGCGCGGCCGGAGATGGAGTTCGTAGTGCCCCTCAACCTTTGCCGACAAGGAGGACCTCGTTGAAAAATGGGCTTTCGCAGCGTTTCCAGGAGTTTGCAGTGTTCCTCAGCCAAAGTCATGCTTCGAGCAGGGAGAACTCCCTCCAAGCAGACAACAAAAAAATCAAAATCCCTCAGTCTCATGATGTGAGCACCTAAAATGAGCAGGAGCTTGAAGATTTTGATGAATGCTTTCTGCGCTGCACCCTTGGTGGGAGCAGTGGCACTGCCTGCTCGCTGAAGGGACACGTTTGCAGAGGCAGGAGGGTTCCTGCTCACAGCTTGGGCCGGATGAAGAGCGATAAATGCATTTTAAACGCTGTTAAGATGGCAAAAATATTGACTGTTCAATCAGCTCTCTCTGCAGCCTCCTGCTGGTGTTGTACGTGTTACAGGAGAGGTTTGGGGATTGCATTTGGTGGGGGAGGCAGGCAGCTGGAGCTGAAATTAGGCTTTTTGGGCCACATTTTTTAACTAACGGGGCAGTCAGGTTGTGGTTGATCCGTGGCTTAGTGATCTGTCTTGTTTTGTTGCCTTTTCTGATGCGGCGTTGGGGTTTCGGCACCGGTCTCACCCCCTTCCCGGGGTTTGTTTTTTCTCCCCGCAGCCATGGATTTCCCCCAGCACAGCAAGCAAGTCCTGGAACAGCTGAACCAGCAGCGGCAGCTGGGTTTGCTCTGCGACTGCACCTTCGTGGTGGACGGCATCGACTTCAAGGCCCACAAAGCCGTGCTGGCGGCGTGCAGCGAATATTTCAGGATGCTTTTCGTTGACCAGAAGGATGTGGTGCACCTCGACATCAGCAACGCGGCAGGTAGGCAGAGGGTCATCCGATATCCCTCTGAGCTGCCCCAAATGAAGTGGTTTGGTGCCCAGGGTTTGAGGGAGACTGGTTTGGTGCCCAGGGTTTGAGGGAGACCAGTTTGGTGCCCAGGGTTTGAGGGAGACTTGTGATTTCGTGCGCTTTGGCCTTTTCAAAATTGCGAGGCCGAGAGGCGAGAGCTTATTTCTGGTTGCGTCGCCTCCCTTGCAGGCTTGGGCCAGGTTTTGGAGTTCATGTACACGGCTAAACTAAGCCTAAACCCCGACAACGTGGAAGACGTGCTGGCTGTGGCGGGTTTCCTCCAGATGCAGGAGATTGTCAGCGCTTGCAACGCTCTCAAGTCCCTCGCCGTGCCGGCAGAAAGCCCCGTTGAGAGCCATCGGCTCCCCGCCAAGATGGGTACGTAGCTTCCTCGCTTTCCCGCATCCGGGGAGACTGGAAATGGCCCCACGAAGCAGCCACGCTCTGTGGCCCCCATCTAAACCCGCTCCCTGGGTACGTCTCCTGGTGCACAAGGGCCTCTGGATGGGGTTTGATCCCCTTGTGTGGCACCAGCAGTTGAAGAACTGACGCGGCCTTGAATCTTCATGGGATTTGGGAATCCTTCTAGCAGCCGTCGGGGTGCCCTTACGCAGGCAGCAAAAGCTGCAGCTCTTTGCCTCATCCCTCGCAGGGGCCGAAAAGGCGACTGTGGAGGACAAGAGGTCAACTGCAGAAGCGCCGGGTGATCCTGACAAAATCAAACCAGTTCCTCCTGACCCGGAGGGGAAGGAAGAGACATCCGCAGCCGCAGCAGCACAGCCCGAGGCGCAGCCGCAGCGGCTGGGTGGCCAAGAAGGTGAGCCCCCAGCGGATGACACCCAAAATCCCACTGTCCACCCCGCTGCAACACACCCTGTCCTGCTGCTGGGCTCTGCTGCATGCAGCCTGATGTCTCCTCCAGCATGACGTTCTGTTCGTAGGAGTAGACGCTGCTGTCCAAGAGGGCCCCGCCACCGCGTTCCCCATCCACCCGCAGCCGGCGGAGAGTGTGGTCGGCAGCGGCAGCCCCGCGGCGAAGGGCGACATCTCTCCGGGCACTGAAACCGGAGGTGTGTTTGTGCGCAAGGGGCAGTGGCGGGGGCTTTGCCGTCTTGCCCGTTCCCTTCGGCAGGGCTGAAGCACGGCTAGGCAAGGACCGAACCTTTGTTTTCCGTGCAATTAATTTTGTTAGCGTGAGTTTCGCTGTGCAAACACGGCGAGTTGCGGAGCCCACGGGAGCGCTTTTCCATGGGAAACGCTCCTCTGTCTGCGCAGGCTTTTGGATTTTAGGGCTAATGACCTGCAAATCCAAACTGGCTCCAGGCAGAGGTCTTGGCGCCGGTGTTGGGCACTGGAGTACCAGGATTTCCCCGAGTACAGCCGGGCAGGTCTAATCCCTGGTACCTTAAACCTGGGCTTAGAGTTAGGAAATACGGGGGAGTTTTGTGTCTCTGATGCTGCTCCTGATCTCTAGCGTCCCTGTTTTCTAACTGCTTGCAGAAATGGAGCTGGAGGGGAAGGAGGAAGAGGGGGAGATGACGGCAGAGGATGAAGAGGAGGCTAAAATCCCTGAGGAAGAACAGCCCCGGTTAGAAAATGGAGAAAACGCTGAAGATAACGAATCGGGAAGCACCGACTCCGGGCAGGAGAACTCGGGTGAAACCCGTCTGCTGCGTTCGGGTACTTACAGCGACAGGACCGAGTCGAAAGCCTACGGCTCCGTCACGCACAAGTGCGAGGTGAGGCCGGCCACTGCCCCGAGTGAGGTCTGCGGTCCCTCGGGGACACAGGGTGTCACCGGCTGCGCCTGCGCCTGTCTCTCTCCATCCCTAGGACTGCGGCAAGGAGTTCACCCACACCGGTAACTTCAAGCGGCACATCCGTATCCACACCGGTGAGAAACCCTTCTCCTGCAGGGAGTGTAACAAAGCCTTCTCCGACCCGGCTGCCTGCAAAGCCCACGAGAAGACGCACAGGTACGGCAACGCCGGGGACCGAGAGGTGTCACTGGGCTGCGCTGGGCAGAGCAAGGAGCTTGTGACGATGCCGGTGGTGGGCTGAGGGCATAAGGGTTTGAGCAAGAGGCCGGTACAGCGGCCAACGCCGCTCTGCCTCTTGCACCGACACTCCCAGCAGCTCGTTTGGACGGTGCCAGCTGCGGAAAGACACCGGCAGCGCCAAAAAAATGCGGCTTTTGCTGCAAAAGATCACATCCTTGCAAAATCCATCAGCGTGGTGGGGTAGTCTGGGAGGAGATTTCTCTTTCTGCCCCCGTCCTTCCCTTTTGCGTTGCTTCAAGACATCCTGTGGGATCCAGACAGGTCCAACTGGGGTGGTGGAGCTCGGATCGGGGTGGTGAGAGCTCGGCGCGCTGGTTCTTCCCCCCCCTGGTGTGACGGCCCCATCTTCTCCGCAGCCCG